TAAGTTTATTATGTAAGGTGAAAATGTTACACTAATGGTGTAAGAATAAGTATAGCATAAACTCAATATAGACTTTAATGTTTGATAGTAACATGTTTTATATTTGTTATCTTGTTCACTTTTAATACTTTTTTTTTTATTAAATGGTTAATTTAGATTTATGTTGTATAACCAATCATTAGTATAAAAAATACTTGGCACTTTTATAACTCAACCGTATGATGTAACCGATACTTATGCTATGAAAGGAACTTGATTTGTTGTTAACATAAGTTATAATCATGTTAACCATTTATAATCCGATTGGAATCTCCTTTGTGTGCGATTTCCAATGAGTAATAAAAAGAGTTTATACTATACTTGTTTGAAATACCATTAATGGATCCTCTAACTTTGACATTTGTTTTTATTGTTTAATTTTCACATTAATCTTACATCTCAAAGTCTTCTTTAACTTCTTGTTCTTATTATTATTATTATTATTATTCATGTTGTTGTTCTTCTTTTTCTTTTTTTTTATTTTCTTATTATTATTTATAATTTATATAGTTAACCTCCCTATGGTTCGACCTCAGTATTGCTAAGTTATTTATGACTTTGATATTCATACACTTAAGAGAAAACATCAATTTTTTGGTCATGTCAGCAAACGACAATGTTTTAAAGAAAAAAATTATAAAATTAAATTTTCAATCAGCTCAATGTAAAATTTTTTTTGATAAATATAATTTTAAAAAATAAAATAAAAAAAATAAAAAACTATATAGGAAAACACCGTAACAATCTACGGTATTTTAAATGAAAAAAAATTACAAAGTGATATTTTTAACTAGCTCAATATTTTAAAAGTAAAATCAATAAAGATAATTTTGGAAAGAAAATAAACAAAAAGAAAAAATAAAAAAAGAGGAAAGTTGAAGGGGAAAAAAAAGGAAAGTAATTTTGATAAAAACAAAAAAGGGAAAGTTGGAAAAAAAATGAAAAAGTGCAAAAAAAAAAAGAGAAATACATTGTGGATTATTATTCTAATCTATAGTTGCATAAGTCTGCATGAATAGTAATATCATCGTATGATTTAATTTCTTTATTAATAAGTTATTCAATAAATAATACAGAGGATTTCTAATCATATACAAGAGATTTTCATTGATTTTATGTATACTAATTATACAAAATTTAGATTAAGAAATTCTTGATAGGTTAGATGTCTAATCGATTTAAGTATATTTGGAATAGTGGTAACTATTGTGGTTCAAAATATTTTTCATTTAGAAATATATCAAGTTAATATTTTTTTTATTTTTTTAAAAATTATTTTTAATATTAACGTATCAAAACAATTTTAAAAAATTATTAATAAAATTATTTTTTTAAAAAAATACAGATTAAATCACATTTCTAAACGGGAAAAAAAAATCTTTATCCTAACTTGATGCCAGTGTATAAAGACATAAAAGAATAAAAAATAAATTCTGAATAGATAATTTTATAGAAAATCATAAAAAAAAACTAAACAAAAACATACGGAGAAACATTGTAGTAATTGATTAGTATTTAAAAATGTATTTTTATGAAGGTTTTATATCAGCATTTTACACTTGAAGTATCAATAACTCTTTAACTAAAGCATGTTTTATAATAACAAATCTAATACTATAAGATACCTTTAATTTATGGTAAATATTCATCTTAAATACAGGCCTATCAAATAAATTAAAGGATTGATTGATAAATTCAACTACTGCAATTGAGAAGATAAAGAGAGGGTGAAGCTTAGAAAAGAGATATTGGTTCAATTCAAACTAAAACACTATTAAGTAATTAGGTCATATCTAGAGCTGTAGAACTTGGATTTGGATATGCTATAGATGGATGAAAAACTAAGATATAAGCTTAAAACATTCATGAGGAATGTAAAACTCAATTTTGTTGTTTGTAAATCCAAAACTTGGCAACAACAGAGAAGTCTGAATCTGTCCTATAACTTAGATATTGTTCAATGTTAAGCCTATATCTTGAGTTTTAGTAGTCCAAATGACTTCAATTTTTTTATTGAAAAACCAAGACAATTTCCTAGAACTTTTACTAATTAAGTCTGTTCAAATTTTGATGTTAGTAATGATATTTTGTTTAGACAAGAAAATAAGGATTGTCACCAAGTCAAGATTTGACAACCCCCTTAACAATTAATTAACAAATCAATAGTTCTTAACTTTGACCTATACAAGAAGACATTTGTCATGTATTTAGACATCTTAGTTTTTATATCAAGATTATTGAAAAAACACCGTAACAATCTACGGTATTTTAAATGAAAAAAATTACAAAATGAAATTTTTAACTAGCTCAATATTTTAAAAGTAAAATCAATAAAGATAATTTTAGAAAGAAAATAAACAAAAAGAAAAAAGAGAAAAGTTGGAGGGAAAAAAAAAAGGAAAGTAATTTTGATAAAAGCAAAAAAGGGAAAGTTGGAAAAAAAATGAAAAAGTGCAAAAAAGAAAAAGAGAAATACATTATAGATTATTATTCTAATCCATAATTGCATAAGTCTGCATAAACAATAAATGATTTAGTTTCTTTATTAATAAGTTATTCAATAAATAATACAGAGGATTTCTAATCATATATAAGAGATTTTCATTGATTCTATGTATACTAATTATACAAAATTTAGATTAAGAAATTCTTGATAGGTTAGGTGTCTAATAGATTTAAGTATATTTGTAATTATGGTAACTATTATGGTTCAAAATATTCTTTATTTAGAAATATATCAAGTTAATAATTTTTTTTTTAAAATTTATTTTTAATATTAATGAATCAAAACAATTCTAAAAAATTATTAACAAAATTATTTTTTTAAAAAAATACAAATTAAATCACATTTCTAAACGGGTAAAAAAAAATCTTTATCCTAACTTGATCCCACAATGTATGAAGACATAAAAGAATAAAAAATAAATTCTGACCTGAATCTGAATGTTACTACTCTTTTTTTTTTTTTTTTTTAAGACTTCAGGGTTTTCGCATGCTAATCAGTTTTCGAGTAAAATCAAATAAAAAATTCCAAAAATCAAACCAAATCTGAATGGTCAAAGATGAGAGATGGAGAATATGGCAGTGAACAAAAGCATTGGTTTATAAAGTGAAAACAAGAAAGAATGGGATTCTTGGAAGTGCGTTAGTTGGGCTAACATATTCTAGGGGCATTTATTTTGCGTAAAAAACATTTTGTACGTGAGAAATATTCTATATTAATTTTTTTTATGATATATATCATTAGGAAAGTGAAAAATAAAGGCAATAGAAGATCTACGACGAAGACGATGACGATGACGAGGCATTAATGATGCTGGTTAAATAATGATAGTTAAAATTATTGTAAAATATTTTAAATGAATTATTATTAGTAAAATATTTTATAAAATAATATTTTATATTAACCTTTTTTTCATAAAATATTTTATATAAATAAAATATAAAAAAATATAAGATATTTTTCTATGAAATATTTTATGCAAAACAAATACATATTTCTTCTAATTACTCCTGGGACTCAATGTTTATGCACATCAAAATTATTCAAAATTTTGTTATTATTTGTTTTTTTAGATTGAGTCCAAACAAATTTAACAAATTATTGATAATAATTTTTTTATATAATACATGAAAAAATCACACAGTGTTTTATGTAATGTACACTTCTCCTAAATATCCTAGGTATTTATATTAATTTTGTTGTAAATTAGATATTTATACAAGATATTTTAAATATTTTTTAAGATATTTATCATTAAAAAAATTTATATAAACAAATCTATTTAAAAGCATAAAAAAGCTCATCTCTTTATACAATATAACACTCAACATAAATCTAATACAAGACTTAAACAAGATTTATGAAACATTTAAATCTAAAAAATAACATTTATTCTTTATGTCACTTGTACAAACATTATATTAACATAGACATTAAAATATTTTTCTTGCAGGTGCGGGTCAACTAGGTCCTTCAAGTTTAGTTTTATCAACTTATAAAAAACACTTTTAATCTTTTTCCAATTGACTTTTTTCCAATCTCATCATAAACATTCTTTGTGGAAAATAAATAAAAAGTTAGCTTTTTCTTTTATTTCTCAAAAGCTAATTTTATTGATAATAAAACTCTAACACAGTGGTAGCTATGTTATCGGTTATGCCAATAACATGCCATTGGCTAAATTAATAGTTATGCTTATGGCTACGCTACGAGTTACGCTCATGTGAATTTTTTAGTGGCCATGTTAGTTTTTTATATCTTACACTTTGATCCTTGTCTTTTAATCATAAAGGAACCAGTCATTAATTTGATTTGATTATGAAGGATGCAACTGAAGAAAAAAAGGTACGACAAAAAAAGAAAAAAAAAAGAGCACTAAGAATCCATGCGTGGAGCTGCAACAAAACCCCCATGTCATTTGTATAAACATTATACTAACATAGATATTAAAATATTTTTTTTGCAGGTGTGAGATAACTAGATTGTTCATGTTTAGTTTTATCTGTTTATAAAAAATATCTTTAATTTTTTTAATTGATTTTCTTTCAACTTTATTATAAAAATTATTTGTAAAAAATAAATAAAAGGTTAGCTTCTTTTTTTTTTTTTAACTTCTCAGAAGCTATTTTTATAGATAATAAAACTCTAACACAGTGGCAGCTATGTTATCGGTTATGCTAACAACATGCCATTAGCTAAACTAATAGTTATGCTTATGGCTACGCTGGGAGTTACGCTCACGCCAATACCCACGTGGCTACTACAAAACTTCTGAAAAACTAAATGGACTGTGATAGGAGCAAATAGGAAATAAGGGGACCAAAAAAAACTTTTTCATGTGAATTTTTGAATAGCCATGTTATTTTTTATGTCTTACACTTTGATCCTTGTCTTTTAATCATGTCTTTATACAACAAATTATAAGGAACCAGTCATTAATTTGATTTGATTACGAAGAATGCAACTGAAGAGAAAAAGGTTCGACCAAAAAAAAAAAAAAAAAAAAAAGACCACTATGAATTCTGG